ACAGCAATCCTTTTACTGCTGCCTCACTCGGTCCCGGGGGAACCTACTTGACGCTTCTGGAACTCCACCATAACTCCAACAAGAAATTTCAAATTCAAACAAACGGAAAAAAGCACAGAACAATAATAATCCTCGGAGATGGATCCCGAAATGGCACTGGAGCTCGTAAAGCACGGCGCGATGCTTCTGCTCCTCGACGTGCCTCAGTACACTATCGTCGGAATTGACACTCAGGTACCGTGTTTGGCTGCTCGGAAAATTCGAGAAAATGAAACAATATGTGAAAATCATTTTTTTTTCTCCTTCTGTCTTGCAGGTTTTCACTGTAGGGCCTGCTTTCAAAGGCGTCAAGATGATTCCTCCTGGTCCTCATTTCGTGTTTTACAGTTCATCAAGCAGGTTCTCTCTCTCTCTCTCTCTTAAATGATTATGTTGGCTTAAGCTTTTTAATAACATTGTTATGGACGAAAGATCAGAAGTGTAGATTGAATTGAAAACTAGGCGGAAAGAAATTCTTTTATTTCGACAGTGAGAATTTTCTTTTTGTCATTTTGCAATTCCGAGAGATTAGAAATAGAGAGAAATGAAGGGAAATTAGGGTTTGAGGCTTTTCTTGTACTGTTCTGGTTTATGGTGTGATGGAGATTGTTTGTAATTTTCTGCTTGATCTATTAGAAATCTCAGAAGTAGTTTGACCATCTAATTTTTTTTCTGTGCATGAAGTGTTTGATAGATTGTCTTCTGTTATCTCGATAGGAAATCTGGTATTTGTTGTCTAAATCACAACATGCATAAAAAGAGAGAGAGAGAGAGAGAGAAAAAAATCGGTTTCCAAGTTTAACTTTTTTCCCTGGAGGGTCAGTCTTGGTCTAGTGGCACTAGAGGGTCTGGGTGGAGGGTTACGGGTTCAATCCCATGTTATATGAAAAAAAAAAGTTTATCTTTTACCCCCCTGGTTGAACGTGTTATTATTATCACGCATTTGGGAATGAGATTCAAAGCTTTTTTTTTATTTTTTTATTTATATTATTTGGTTGTGACAAATACTCTTCATTTTTTTTCCAGTAAACTAGCCCCTGTTTATTACTATGAAATTGGAATACTTTTGTTTCTAATATTTCTGCTCAATTTCTATGATCTGTTAATATTTTTAGTATGTATTTCTGTATGCAGAGATGGCAAAGAGTTCTCTCCAATCATCGGTTTTTTCTGTCACGTTGGCGCTTCAGAGGTTTAGAATCCATGTTGCTTCTTCTTTTTTCACCTGGCAGCTACTTGTTTTATTATGTTAATATTTATCAATGAGTTTAAAACGGGAATCTGGAGTTCAAGGCTTAACTATGTTTCATGTGATGGTTGTAACAGATAATTGTTCGCAAGTGGGATCAACAAGATGAAAAGCTAGTGAAAGTTTCAGAAGAAGAGGTTCTTATTACTTTTGCTTCTACTAATTTCTTTTATGTGTTTAAGATACCATTTGATCTGGAATCAAAATTAACTTTATGACATAAGATTGAGAATTTATTACTATTAGGTTAGCTGCGAAAATTAGTAGGGGATAAAGAACCATGTTAGGTTAGGCAACAGAAAAGTATGATCATTTAATAGAGCAATGGGAACCTCTATGCATAATATATATACACACACACACACACACACACACACATATTAGCTGATTTGAGGTAAATTCGGGAACCTCTATGCATAATATACACACACACACACACACACACACACACACATATTAGCTGATTTGAAGTAAATTTTGTCTTATTCAATTTTTCATTTATTTGATTTTAACAAAGTTTCCTTCGTATTTCATTTTTTTTTTTTCCACAATTAAGGAAGAAAGGTATTCTGAAGCAGTCAGAAGTTTGGAGTTTGACAAACATCTCGGTCCTTATAATTTACGGCAGTATGCAGATTGGACACGGCTATCTAATTATATTACAAAAAGTGTCATAGAACGGATAGGTAAGAAATATTAGCTACTTCAAGCCTTTTCAGTTATCTGCTTCAAGCACTTTAAGTATTCACTATCTTCTTGGCATTTTATTTCCATTAGGATTTAGGAGTACTTTCAGGCACCTGCCTATAATTAATTTTCTTTGCTTCTAACGGGTCTTTTTTTTTTAAGAAAAAAAGGAAAGGAAAAAAAAAGTGGTGAACTCTGTTTATTTTCGTTGTTGTATCGCATATGTCTGTAGTTGTATTATATTTGTTTATATTGTAGCTGCACATGCATCGTGGGAACTATGATGGTGGCAAAGGGTTTTCATAGCTTTGGAACAGAGTACATATTGATCTGCATTTATGCAGAAAGAATCTTTGAGGCGCACCAATGCACACAATTCTGACATCAGAATTGGACCATTCGCTAAAACAACCTGAATTTGGAAGATTATAATGAAATTAAATTTGAGTATTTTGTTGAACAGAACCTATTGGAGGAGAAATCACCGTTGCAAATGAACCTGCAATGATAAAAAATACCCCTAAAACGGCGATGGAGAAAGCGCTAGATGAGCAATTGAAGAGTAGTAAATGCTCAACATCCATTGATAAGTCTCAGCTAAGAGGATGCTATTACACATCAATTCCCCGTGTCATCAAACGTAAAGGAGCTCAGGGGCATGAACTTACTTTCTTAAATCTTGACAAAGTAAGTAATTAATAGACTTTTCCTGACAGATCATTTACTGTCAAATATCTGCCTAATTTGGCTATGATTTTCAACTGATCTGCTTAGACACAATTGTTAGAAAGCCTGCTGATCAAAGATTATGGAGGTTCTGAAGACTTGCTCCTGGGAGAATTACAATTTGCATTTGTTGCTTTTTTGGTATGTACAAAATCTTATCATATATTGTCTCTTCATATTGATAAAAGGTTCAGACTCTTATGACACCAAATTGATGCAGATGGGACAGTCACTTGAAGCGTTTCTGCAATGGAAGTCTCTGGTTAGCCTTCTATTTGAATGTACTGAAGCTGTAAGTAATGTTTTGACTAAAAAAACTCTTTCTTTCTTTTTTTTATTTATTTACTTTTTAATTTTTTTTAGAAAAAAGAAACACCACTTCCATTAAAACAACCCATAAAGTACAAAACTAGGAAACGATGCCCACCAAGAAGAACTAAACAGACGAGCAGACTACGGCAACAATTGTCAGTCCCTGACTGAATCTGAGGTTTGAAAATTGCAAAAATCTTTAGCTTCATACAACCAAACAGAACTTCACTTTCTCCCACGGCTCGCATTCATTGCCTTATACTCTTCCAAGATCTTCTTACTTCTTCTAAACTAATTATCCAACACAATCCCAACGTGAAAATTATGTTTACCGTGCAAGACCACCAAAGATGTGCTAGTGCTACCACTTTAATAACAATTTATTAATTTCTTCTTTTGTGCTGCTCTAAAAGATTCAAAAGCCATGGATAGAGAATGGGGCCAACGTGGAGATTTAGTGACTATTATCATTACGGCAATTTGTGTTTTGTTATAACTTTGCTAATGCTACGCACTCTGCCAGGAAAAAAAAAAAATCTCTTTTAGAACCTGGATGGGCGGGTTGCCTTGATTGGATAAATTACTTGAATTCTTATAAATTTGTTGTTGGTTCAGCTGGATGTTATCAGAAGACAGATTCTCTTGAGTTTTTCTTGATGTTGTTTTACCTTGTTTTCTAGTTTTGTCTTATTTTTCGTTTGCCTTGAGGATTTCTCTTCCTCTTTCCTTGTAATTGATTATTAACAATGAAAAGGTTTTTTCTTATCCAAAAAAAAAAAAACGAAAATCAAAATTGCAAAGCACCCATTTCCTTCCTAAGTCTTCGTTTATGTTGTGATTTAGTTCTTGAAGCTTTAGTTTTTGCAATGCAGCCTTTTCATACAAGGAGTCAGCTCTTTGTGAAGGTAAGCTCAAAACATGCCATTGTTGCTACTACTCCTTACCAATTTTGGTAACTTTTGGCTAACATCAACTTTAGAGATCAAAAATTTATTTGCCCTACTTTCAGAAAAAAAAATTTATATATATATATATATTTACCCTAGCTGCCCCGCGAAATTCAGATACTGGTATTCTACTTTGTTATTCTTGATTTGGAATTGGGCCACCCAGCTTAACCTGCTAATGAATGACTTCTTTTGGGGCATTATCTTAGTGTTAGGCATGAATTTCAGTCATCAGCAGGTTCATCAGGTTATTTGTCTTTTGACTTTTAATATTGGTAGCAGCATACCAGTTAATCTGAACCAAGTGGACCAATTTCATTATTCAAAAGCGGGTTTCAATTTCCTTTTGTCTGTTATTTCATAACTCATGGCGCTATCTCAACTTTCTCCTACATTTTATTGATCTGGCCTGGATTGGATCAAGGCCAGATTTGGGGAGGAAAGTCGCTTAACCAATGGGGCATCTCCACGGACTTCTCAATATGTCCCTACTTTCACAATGAATTCTGATATTAGTTTTCTGTTTCCTATTGACCAATCCATGACCCCTAATATAATTTTTACAGTTTATTAAGGTCATCTACTTTCAACTTAAGTATGGACTTCAGAAAGACTCTCCAGATACAACTGGTGCAGCTGCTGCATTGTTGGATGACTCATGGTTTTCTGCTGATAGCTTTTTGCACCACCTTTTCAAGGTACTGTTACAGGCTATTATATCACCATAGTGCATAGTGCATGTATGACCACGTGTTCCAAATTAAAAGATAATCATTTAGAAATAAAGCATCAAGGGATCTGAATTGTCTAGAATAAATTTCCTTCTCATTTTCTTTGAAATATCTTCTTGTCACTTATATTGGATGTTATAATCGCCACATTTGATTGTCAAAATAACTGTTCTTAGTTGCAGGATTTTTTTTCACTGGTCCAAGATGCATCGGTTGTGGATGGTGATCTTCTGTCATGGGTATGTCCAATTAACCTTGCCCTTTATGAAACTTGTAGGAGAAAACGATTCACTCTTGACATGCTCCTTTTTTTTTAATTAATTTTAAGAGTGAATATAATTACTTACTCATTATAGAATGCACACTGGTTTGTGTTACTTTAACCTTGCTGAGTTAGTTTTTTCAGACAATTTCTTCTAAGACAAAAAGATATGCCATCAACCTGAACCTATTAGCCAAAGCAAGACATAATTCTGTTCTGACAATCTACAATTTCTTCAAAGCTTCAGAACATCCCCTCCTGCCTTTTGCAAGCATATGCAGACACTTATCTTTTGCAGTCTTGGGGCCGTGCTTAGCCTCAAGCCTAGCCTCAATTTTAAGGGGCATACGCCTTCAGTTGTGACCTCGAGGCTTAAGCTCAAGGAAAAGTTTCATCTCTTTGTGTAGCTTGCCTCAAGGCAAGCCTCAAGGATGGAATTAATTGCCGTTGGCAATTACTGTTTCATGCATTCAATTATATTTCCAAGTCTTGGAGGCTTCATTCGTTTCGCCATTTAAATTACAACTAAAACTTTTTGCTACGGTGTTTTCTCTCACAACAATTCAAATTTAACTTTTTCTACTAGTGTCTTTTCTCACATAAATTTACTTTTCAATTGAACGAGTCAAACGTACGGGGCCGGAATCTCCTTAATTGTTTATATCAGTTTTCCACTACAGTACCTTGTTTTTCAGTTGTTGCTAAATGCATACTGCTTTTAGAATCTGATGTTTTATATCTTCAATCCATATAGACGAGGAGACTGCAGGAGCTGCTTGAGAAAACTCTTGGGTGGGAGTTTCAGCAGAAGAGTGCAGTTGATGGCATTTATTTCGAAGAAGATGATGAGGTCAGTATCATTCGAGGTACACAAACATTTCCGGTTCTCTCTTTCTCCCCCATCTCTCCCTCACCATATATAAGCTTTTGCAGTTTGCTCCTGTGGTTGAGATGTTAGATGACCAACCTCTTACTGATGCTCCCGCGGAATAAGTCGTTGCATCATAAGTTTGTGTGTAACACACACAAGTGACAAAGCTCCTATAGAAATGTACTACTATAAATGTTCTATCTAGAATGTTCCTTTGCATGATAATAGGTTGTTTTGTAGGGATTTGAAATTTTGATTGAAGAAATAAATTACACAAGGAAAATGTCTTCGGTGCAGAGGCATTTGATTTTCCAAAGTTCTTGTCTGGCTTGATGCTTGAATTTGGTAACAATTTTCAAATATGGTTGGGAAATACAAACTCTTTGCTATTGATGAAGAGTTGTATTACTAGGGTAGTTCTATTGACAGGTCGCTCTTTATTTGTGAAGGACTATAGTGACGAGGCTCTATTTGGTCATTTACTCAATTTATTATTGACATCGGATGACATGTCATCTAATATCGTATGGTTAAAATAATAATACTTACCGATGGATATTATATATAAGTATTATATATAATATTATATTATATAGACGGTGTAAATAACGTGAGATATGGCAAACAAAGACCAATGATCAAAGAAAATAGAAGTAAACTGAAAGCTAATAGCCGGTTTAAGAGGATAAAGTTGATACTTAGCACTTTAAAGAAAGTTATAAATATATCTTGTTCTAAACCCTCTGTCTAGTTAAAACCTAATGGACCTAATGGAGAAAGGCTTAGAAGGGGAAAAAAAAAATACATATCTACTCAAAGAGTTGGCTAATTCTACAATTTGTAACAGGGGAACCCATTTATATCCCTGTAGACCACCCTTAATGCAGAAATCAGGATAATTTAACCATCAAGAAATTCCTTTTAGGCCAAAAGCACGAGAAGTAAGATTGCTGGCAACATGATTTTCTACACGAAAAATATGAGAAGCGTGATCGGAAATTCTATCCAAATAAACGATCCCAGCGAGAGATAAACCGCCAAGGAACTCTTTTATTATTAGAAAGCAAGAAGTTAAAAATATAAGTGGAATCACATTTGGATTGTTAAATTTGATCAATATCACATTAAAAAAAAAAAAAGTATGTAGAATAAATTAGTTTTTTATGAGAGTTTTTCTAGTTGAGCCTCCTTAAGGACAAGTTTCTAACTACTAAATTTGGTAAAAATCCTATCAATGTAAAAAAGTATGCAGAATAGATAGTTGGTAATCCAGATCTAAAGGTTAAAACCTTTAATAGTTTATTTGTTTAGATCCTATAATAAACTCCCGTTTCATACATATAGGACGATTAAAAAAGAGAAAGATCCACCAGCAATTCATTTTTTCTAGCCCTAGAGATCTGTTAAGAAAATTAGAAACTTTTATGGTAAAAACTACTATTTTATTCTACTAGTAAGAACTGTTATTTTAACCAATCGATAAGTTTTTTAACGGTTTAATTTGTGAATGTGAGCAATTTTGAATTGCACACCAGCAATTTTTGATGTGGACACTCATATATTGAAGCGTACTTATCAAACGATTACAACAACAGTTCCTATCCTTAAGTTAGGATGACAGTTCCTACTGTAATAATTCGTGAGAAAAATTAGGATAAAAATTAAAAAGCTGAAGGTTAATCACATAAATAATGCATTAATCACTATAGTCCTTGACTTTTTAAATGTCTAACTTTTAATTCATAATTTATTACTCTTAGAGCTCCAACTGTTGGCAAGGACCTGGTCCAACTCAATCTTAAATTTTTTGGGCTTAGGGCCGAGTTTGACTAATTTTCTCTCTTTTAGGACCGACCCGGTCTAACCTAAATATTATATTTTTAAAAATTCTTTTAAAAATATCTTATAAAATTTTGAATCAGGTTAGGCCGGTCCTAAACTTTTTAAACATAAGATCAGGTTAGGCCAACTCTCTCTCTTTTAGAGTCAGCTTGGCCCAACTTAAAATTTTCATTCGGGCTGCTGGGCCTTAGCTGGTCAGCCCAAACTCGCATATCTAATTACTTTGATTTAGTTTTAGTCTTCTCGTTAGTTAGTTAGTAAATATTTGATGGAATCTATATGCGTTATCCATGTACAAAATTGTTAGATTGATCTAGTTTAATATAAATGCTTTAGATTTTTTCACTTTTAATTTCTAATTTTTACATATTTCTTTAAATATTTAACACTTAATAAACAATAAGACAGAAACTATAATAAAATTTAAGACTAAAAGTGAACATTTTAAAAGTCAAGAATCAAATAAAATTAAAAGTTATTCCCAACAGCACTTCCTACCAAAAATGCTGTGAAAACGTATTGTAACATTTCAAAATCATTAGGATCCATCCACTGTCGCGCCACAACCATCACTCTCCCCCAACGCAGCCTCCTCACTCGTGCGGCCACGAACCCATCTGACGCCGCCGAGCAACCACTTACGATGGCTCGGAGCCTGTCTTCCCGCCTTTCACTGCTTGCCAGACTCCCAAAACCTTATTTCCAGCCTTCTACTTCTACTTCTCCAAGGTCTGAATGAATCTTTTTTTTTTTTTTTTTTTTTTTTACTTTTTTTTTTTAGAATCAAAAACTCAAAAGATGTAATTTTCATGTTCTCATTTCCAGCTTAGAAACTATCTCTGTTACACTCTACTTTGTTTGTTTAGAATCAAAAACTCAAAAGATGTAATTTTCATGTTCTCATTTCCAGCTTAGAAACTATCTCTGTTACACCTCCAAGCTGTTCAACCAGTCAAATCATTTGTGGCCTTAGTTCACGTTTTCAAGGTTGGCTTTCCTTCCCCTCACTCGATTTCACATTTCATGTCTATTGTGTGGATTGTGATGCTTATATATATGATAATCTTTTTGGCCTGTTTCTTGATTTTTTTCGTGTTTAATATAATACATATATGTTGTAGATTATGTTCTCCAACTGCTTGTAAAAAGTTCTTAAAGACAAAAATAAAAATAGAGACAACTGAATTTTTTGTTTCCCAAGTCTCTATCAAATAGTTGGGGCTTACTTGTATAATTTGCTTTATATAATTTATGTTATAAGTTTTTCCTAATTGTTTTGGATTCTTGAGCTTTGAAGCGCTACAAGATGACTTGGGGGTCATTGCTATTATTATTAGCGTTTAAATGCTATGCTGCAAAAAATAAAAAAAAGAAGAAGCTGCAAACGATCTGTTTATTTGGTTATTGATATATTTTTTCCATTTCCAAGTTATGCATTGTCTGCTTTGCAGCATCACGATCATACACTCGTGGTAACCGCAAACATTATGATCTCTTTGGAAGTGCCAAGCCGGGCGATGATGAGTTTAGAAAAGCATGGAAAAAAGAAATGGATGAAGATAATTGTGTATGGACAGGTAGTGAAGATGAAAGCGATGGGGAAAAAGAAGGTCGGAAAGGTAATCTTGAAGACGAGATTAGGAAAGTAAGACAAAAGGCAAAGGAGCACTCCAACCTAATCGATGCCGATGATAGTGATGAGTTATATAGTGTGTGGTCTGGAAGTGATGAGGAGAAAACTCTGTGGACTGGTAGTGAAGGAGATGACGATGATGATATTCCTACTGAAGCATACCCAAACGAAGCTAGTGATAAATATGTAGATAAGCTATTCGAGTTTGAGGAAACGTCCAAGTACCGAACAATCTCAGAGATGTTGAAAGCTGAACAGGAGCCGGAGGAGTTGTCCCCCGGGAAGCAGGCACGGAAACTTGCGGTGGAGAATGCCTTAAAAAAGTTGAAGAAAGGGCCAGATGGGCGTTACACTAATGTGTGGGAGGTCATGAGTGATACAGACATTCTAATAGGGGCATTTGAAAATATAGTCTCTGGACCAGAATATGCAGAGCTTAGACAAGGAGGGCCAAAGAGATTGAATATGCAGTTTTTCAAAGATATTCAGGCACGGATGAGGGATCCAAACTATAAGTTCTCACCCGAGTTGAAGTTGAAACCAAAGAGCAAATTAGTTCCAAGAAAGAAATGGCAGAAGGCAGAGTCTAGACGTAGAAAAGCACGAAAGCGATGAGTTGCTTCCCTTATTCTTTTACTCTCAAAATTTACACAGTTACATTATTTAGCACGTTTTATTTGTCTGTATAATTCAATTGTAGTTACATAATTATGCAGGCATCTGTGACTAAAGAGACTTGTGAGGCTTGTACTACCCTTTGTATTTGTTTATTTCGCTGCTCGCAATCATAAAAAGTTCACTTGAATCTAATGCACAATAATTTTAACTTCATAAATTATTTGCTTCAACAGAATCCTCTAGGTCCTTTTTTTTTTTTTGGCTAGAAAATGTTCTAGGATTCTAGGATTATTGCATTGGTATCTGTTTGTTTATTGTGATGTTTGAGATTCTTTGCTTGACTTCAGCTCTGTTTTTATTTTATTTTATTCTTTATGGTACTCTGATTTCTTAATGGGTGGCAAATGTTTGGTGAACAAGAATACAAGGATTTACCAACTTTAAGACGGCGGGTTTTACTTTCATTTTCAATTGACAACTAAACTAATCAATAATTGACTATGATTGACTTAGCAGTGAATCACTATGACTTAAGTTTATCACTGACTCAAGGCTAGATTTTTCAGTATAAGCAGCAGAGATTCTAGTTAGTTTCTCTACAGCTCATTCTTCTGCATTTAACCTGAAAATTTAAGAAGTTGAGCTTTGATCATCTTTAAATCATCGTTTCTTGGGAAAATTGTTAAAAGGAATATTAATTAAGAGTAAATAATAAAAATTTATATTTATGCAAGCGGTATTTGTTTTCGAGAAAAATATTCAGAGTGCATGGAGAATAATAACCCTTGTGATATTTTAAGTTTTACCATAAAATTTCCTTTTTGAACTCAATCATTACTCATAAAGCAAAGTAGAAAGCGTGAAAGAGAACTAGAAGTCAAGGAAAAGAATGAAAATAAATATCAGTGTGACATTTGCATCATCTGCTGTTTTTTTTACCCTCTCCCTTCTCCTAAAACTTTAAAGAAAAATATTTATACGAGAGCTTTTTATTTGTATCATGTATTAATTTTATATGAGAGTTTTCTATTATGGTAAAAAAGTTAAATGCGATTATTTTTTAGAGTTTTTTTATTGTAATAAAATTTAAGTTTTAAATTCGAATCGGTAAAATGAACAAAACTTTAAAAATAATAAAAAAATAAAAATTATAATAAAAAAGAAACTTTATGTGATTGGATAAAAAAATAAACTATTAATAATTTTTTATTATAAAATATTAAATTTGTATTAAAAATTATTTATTTTGTATATATTTTTTTTATTTTGATTGATTTAGACCTCCGCTGGGAGCTCACTTCACCGGTAAATAGATCCTAGGGTGAAAGTCTCCACGGAAAAATATTTTCCAGAAAGAAAAAAATAAATAAATTGTCTTGTCTGCGTGTGACCGAAAGGAAAAAGAAGCTCTAAAGTCCATAACTACTTCCTCTTTCGTCTCACCTACACACACACAGAGACGCGCTGAGTGAAATGGCAATGGCGCTACACGCAGTCTCTTTCTCTTTAAGAGCTCAGCGACCTCTTTGACTTTCCATTCTCTCTGTGAGTACCCCCAATCTCGCTTCTACTTACCCTTTTTGTTTGGTTGCCGAGAAAATGTCGAGGAAAAAACCCACTAAAAGTAGTAATAACTAATACTTATTTCGCTTAAGTTTTTAACTCGGTGCGCTTGTTTCTTTCTATTTTCTCGGCGTTTCTCTGGATCTAAACGGAAAGAGCTAGGTATTTCAATTACGGGATCGCGCTTTCTTCGGTGGTTTGTCGATTTAGCTTTCAGCCGCCCCTTTGTCATAAAGGGGTGTAACTTTTATACTGCGTTTGGTGGCTGAGAAAAGGTAATAGGGGCAAAAGAAAAAGGCACAAAAAGTTGAATGTTGGCTGAATTAGTGTTATTTGTAATGCATTTTGGTTCTTACTTGTGAATTGACTTTGTAAAAGTAAAAATAATATATATTTTTTTGTTTTCCTTTGTTCTCCTTAGGGTTTGTGAAATGGGTATGGCAGTTAAACAAGTGGTTTTTCTTCTGATTTTTGGTGCTCTGTACAATGTATGCGCTTCCAATACAGTAAGTAATCAGACTGCAATTTTTTTTGAATTCAATAATTTAGATATATTCCACTGTGAATCCATGTACTGAAGGGCTAATGTTAAACTATAGGTATTTAACCAGTCAATTCATGGCCAGTTGGATGCTCGGAACGAAGAAAGTAAAGGTGTGAGAAGCGTTCTTCTTTTCTTTGTTGCTTGATGGCCGGGTTTCTTCATGTATCTGTTTTATTGTTAGCTGCTTGTAGTTGTAAATTATGGATTGAGATAGACTGAGAAGGAGGAAAATAGTTCAACTTAGAAATGATTTGCTATAGAAGGGGATACCTGTGTTGAGTAATGCTTTGTGAATCGGAAAAAGGGATTGCATTTTTTGAGTAGTTCTAGTTGGTCATGATTTAATTAATCATGTTAATGCAAGAAGCTGGAAAATGATATACAAAGATTATGTTTACTGATTAATAAATGAACTGAATTAGTTGAATATGTGAATTTTTTCGAACTGCAATGCTTTTACAGTCATTCTACTTTTGCTTCCCATGCCTTTATGGAAACGGTCTCAAGTTAATTATAACGCATCAACCATTCGTTTTGCCTCTTCTTTGTCACCTAATTCTACTTGGTGGCTCGGTGCTGTTGAAGTTTTAGCCATCCAGATGATGGAAAGCTTCTGGTTTTCATTTCTTGTCATCTCTCTGGACTATTCGAGTTCTTTTGACTTCTAGATTGTTCCCGGTTTTCACTTGCAAATCTTTAGTTCTTTTCCACAACTAGTAATTCTCCTTTTTCAATTTTGTAAGATAAACCGAAGGAAAGAAAAAAAAATGAGGTTCATGTGTTTGCAGACTGTGGCTCATGATGGTACTTAAACTTTTTGATCTTCTTAAAAATAGGTGGCCTTCTGCTTCTTAGCTTCTCATATCCTTATTCTTTGTAAAAGAATGCTAAGACTGTAAATAATTATATTTCTCTTCACTCTCCTTTTACTTTGAAATTGCAGTGCAAATTATTTTATGGAGGCTATTCTTTTGTGGGTTCGTCCAAGTTCTCGTGCTTCTATGATGATTTTGGATTTCCTTGGATTGGGAAAAATAAAGGCAGTTACTATATGGAAAATTGTTAATGATTTGTTTTGAGTTGGGTAAATGGAGAGGAGTGGTCGAAATTTTTAACCATTTGTTTTGAGTTGGGTGGATAGTGAGGAATGGTATAATTTTCAAGGACAAGCTTAAAGGAATTTGAGTTTCTCTGAGTCCTAATTGGATCTTGGCTTCATTTTTTGTGTGATCATTTCTAAGGATTTCAAAATTACGTTGTTATTCATTTAAAGTTCATGGCAATTTCATATAACCTACTTTCTTCAAGGGAGATGGGAGGGAATTTAGGTATGTTGTTGTTTATTGACATTTAGTTTTTTCTTTTGTTTTTCTCCTCTTTTGTTTGGCAGGTCTTCTTGCCCCATTGTGTATTGTTTTATCCACAACTTGAGACTACATCCTCCTTTTGAAACTCAAACAGGCAGAAGTGTCACTTCTTGAAAAATTAAGAGAAGTGTCACTTCTCGAAAAATTAAGTGCAATTAGTGAGGTCGTTGTGTTGCTAGTGTCAAATTTTCCTTTTGTCATTCCTTGTCTTTAAAATTTCTACAAGCAGTTTAGTCCCATAATCAGAAAGACAACAGATTTTCAGAGGGTTCTGCGATTGATTTTTTTATATTATTTTATTTTTTTTATCTTTACCGTTTTACAGATGAAGAGTACATTGATAGGATTGTTTACTTGTACATGAGTTATATAGCTTTACCAGAGGTAAGGCCTTTAGTCTTGTTTGTAAGACTAGAATGTATCTTTACTGTTTTACGGATGAAGAGTATATTGACAGGATTGTTTCCTTGGACATGAGCTATAGTGTCAGACCCTTACTTAGGAACGTTTATACTAGAAGGGGTAAGGGTGGCAAGAAAGGAAGAGTTTGGGGCCAAGAAGTAATTTCAGAAAAGTTGCTAGTAGGGTGACGTGGCAAAATCAGGTGGGAATCAGGGTATTTGGGGGTAGCGAAGGCACTGGAGGGGGCGTTCGAGAATTCACTGGCTTTTGGTCTCTGATTTTCCACCGATGGTGGCTGGGATTTTCCGGAGTACTCGAAATCTCCGGGTTTATCTTCTTTATTTTGGTTGCCTAGTGTAAAACTTCGTTGTTGGTTGATTCAATAAAGACTATTTTCCTTTTCACTTGATTTCCGCTGTGCATCTGTGTGTGTGGGAGTGTGTCTGTGTTGTTTGGCTGAGATTATACCAGGTTCCTTACATATAGCTTTACCAGAGTTAAGGCCTTCAATCTTGTTATAAGACTAGAATATGAATCACCGGGGAGTACAATAGGTAGATTGGTTTTGATATTTGTTTAACGCCCAAATGTGCACTTATCAATATCATAAATCACGTTGCTCATATTGAGTTTCTTAATGGAGAATGAGCACAGCTTTGCACGTGACAAACATTGTAGCATTACTCGTCATCAAGTTAGTACTAAATGCCTTGGCTTTAGTCTTTGGAGATCAAGAGAGGGGAAGCAATATTGTTGCTCCGTACTACATTTGATTCAAAATATGCATCACTTGTCCACTATATATTGCTGATTACAATATTGTGATTTGAATAAATAACAATGTGATGTTCACATTGTTTTAATGAATCTTGGAGTTGTTACGCTGATGTAGGACCTAAAATGGTACTTCTCATTCTTGACATGTCTCGAATATTCACGAACCTACAGCTTAATATTTCCTTTTCTCTGTATATTCAACCTATGTTTTTTACAGCTTAATATTTCCTTTTCTCCGTATATTCAACCTATGTTTTTTAGTTTCTCCTTTATTTTAATTATGACTGAAATGGTTTTACAGCTTTACGTAGAATAGAAACAGGTCTGATACCTTACAGTCTGCTGACCCCACAGCTTAACATTGCTTCTCTGATTTTTTATGTTTCAAGTGTTTCATTTCTCCGTGTACAGGATCATGCCCAACTGGTTGGACTGTTAGCCCTAACAAAAGCAATTGCTTTGGTTATATTAACACTACACTATCATGGAATGAGTCAGAGACCCATTGTAAAACTTTCGGTGGACACTTGGCAGCATTAGCAACATCTGAAGAACTAAGCTTTGCTGAAAATCTATGTGGGAAAACCCCACGCGGCTGCTGGATTGGGGGAAGAGGCAGCAACTCTGGTATTGGTTGGAAGTGGTCTGATAATTCTTCCTATTGGAATGAGTCAGCCTTTTCTAGTGTACCTCTTCTCTCCAATTGCAGTAGTCTATCCTGTCCAAGCAATTATTCAACTGATTTGTGCACGCTAGTTATCAATGGTTCAAGATCTCTCTATGATGAAAGATGCAATACGCTCCATGAATTTATTTGTATGGTTGAAATTGGTATGCCTTTTTATATATTGTTGATAGACTGTGTTGATATATATATATATATAGATATTTTTTTTTTTTTTCAGTGCAGTACTTCCTAATTTTGCATCTTTTTTTTTTTTTTGCCTCTTAGGGAATAAATGTTACCACATGCACTGCCACAGAGAATATCTCATCATTCTAGGTGTAGTGAGTGGGTTAATCCTCTTCACAACACTAGCTGTTGTTATTTGGCTTCTTGCATACAAGCGGAGCAAGAAGAGAAGACGATCTCGCAAGCTATCTAACCCAGCAGCTTCTGCATTAGTTCCCCCATCGTGGAAAGTTTTCACAAAAGAGGAACTTAGGTCCGTTACAAAGAACTTTAGTGAAGGAAACCGTCTCCTTGGAGATGCCAAGACAGGAGGCACCTATAGCGGACTTCTACCTGATGGTTCAAGGGTGGCAATTAAGAGGTTGAAGAGGTCTAGTTTTCAAAGAAAAAAGGAGTTCTATTCTGAAATTGGAAGGGTTGCGAGGCTCCATCATCCAAATTTGGTGGCTGTAAAGGGATGTTGCTATGATCATGGTGACCGGTACATTGTTTATGAGTTTATAGTTAATGGACCCTTAGACAAATGGCTACACCACATACCAAGAGGTGGTCGGAGTTTAGATTGGGCCATGAGAATGAAAATTGCCACAACACTTGCTCAAGGAATTGCGTATGTTTCCTTATCCTGTGTTTGTGTGTGTGTGTGTGTGTGTGTGTGTGTGACAAGAAACAGAAAAACTTGATGAGTAAAAAGAAAATGACGAGATGATGTGGAGAGACATACTGAAAGCTCATGCTTGTAAATGCCCCGCATCTTAGTGATTTTATATTCATGTCTTACAGTTCTTAAACTATATGCACAAGTTTTCACTGATAACCTGATGTCAAGGGCCTCAATATTGTTTGTAGGTGCATGTTATAGAATTTGTCTATTTTTATTCCAGTACCCTTATTGATGTCATGTTCTGAACAGAGGAATTAAGTCCCTTGCTTTGTACATTTACATTGGCCATTGAGTGTGCATTCATGCATCCTGGAAAGGACATATGAGAAATATTATAAATTATATTTGTGTTGAACCATTTCAAGGTGAGTGACGGGTGTTTGTTAGTATTTTTTATTAAGTGGAACTTTGAGTTGTAAGAATTTATACGCAAAGGAGAAGTCTGTAACTTTTCGATGTGTCCACAGCGTGAACAATATTTACTGAGGAGCACTTTGATACTTTTCACAAACAAAAAAGGCACTTTGATAGGTCACCAATCTGTACGTTTAGTAAGGCTAATTTATGCGTCAGAGGTCAAATGCTTCAGCTTTAGAATATGAAAAGCTACTGGATTAGAATGCTGGATAGGAAATACCCTGTTCAGCTTTTATGTGTTTTGTTTACCAGAAAAACCTTGACCTAGGGCTTGTACGAAACTAATAAATTGTAGGATGCGAAGAGTAAGTGTTTTCTCTAAAATTTTTTGGGTTGTGGTTATCTTGAAGTGTTCCATGCCTTTCAGACTTTGTGATACTCAATCGGGGGTTCAACCCCTTCTTTCTTTAAATAGGTTCCTTCATGACAAGGTCAAGCCACATGTTGTGCATCGTGACATCCGTGCCAGTAACGTGCTACTTGACGAAGAGTTTGGAGCTCATCTTATGGGAGTTGGTCTCTCAAAATTTGTTCCTTATGAAGTAATGCAAGAGAGAACGGTGATGGCAGGCGGTACGCACGGATACCTTGCTCCTGAATTTGTGTACAGAAATGAACTCACGACTAAGAGTGACGTATACAGCTTTGGCGTGCTGCTACTAGAAATTGTCAGTGGCCGTAGACCTGCGCAAGCAGTTGATTCAGTGGGTTGGCAGAGTATCTTCGAATGGGCTACGCCTCTGGTACAAGCTCATCGCTATCCGGATCTCTTGGATCCCCACATAACATCATCATCTTCTGATATCCCAGAGGCTGGTGTCATTCAAAAGGTGGTGGACCTTGTTTATGCTTGTACACAGAATGTGCCGTCTATGCGACCCAGAATGTCTCACGTCGTCCATCAGTTACAACAATTAGCCCAGCCACCTATCCTAAAGTGAGTTTTAATGTTGTTGATCTGTAGGCTTGTATTCCCATGTATGAGTAATGTAAATTTGGATCTTTTTCCCCTGTTTTGGACGCCTTAGAATCTCGAGACTAAGTAGAATTTAGCACTGATGTAGTTCTAGACCTTTCGATACATTCTAATCAGTAATGTAATTGATAAAACTAGAATTCAGCACTAGATTGTAGTTTAAGACTTTGGACCGCAAGGGTCAGGTTCCAACTGTCTGATTTTCCACTTGCAGTCGCATCAGGACTAAAAGACCCTTTATGATCCTTTAATTGCTCTCGCCATTTGTACTTGGAAATTGTGTGTTCTCAGTCACAAGTTTTTAATTAGTTTAATCTCATGTTCGATAGCAAACATGTATGAGCTTTATACCGCAACTCAAGACTAGGATAAATTAGTTGAAAAGAAAATGATCCAAAAAGGTAGCAAACATTGAATCCCAAGGATACGTAGAAATGTACAATGATCGGACAAGATACATTAGTCCATAAATAGTAAAAGGAAAAAAAGTAGTATCTTTTTAAGTGAAGATACATTAGTCCATAATTTGCGCGTTACCATGCCATAAACTATCTTTTTAAGACTTGATACTGGAATCTTACTATTCTACCCTCCAAAAATATTTGTAAAAGGAAAAAAAGTAGTATGTTATTCCACTCATATTACCAATTTGTCCTCCACAACAATTATCAGTACGATTTTCTGCATTCGGAACCGTGAGCAGGTAAAAAACAATTCTATACACCGGTAAAAACTGGTTAAGAGCCTGTTTGGTTGGAAGATTTGTTTTCTGATTCGAATAATGGTTTATAGTTCATTACAGTATTTTCTTTCATAAAAAATACACGTAAATAAAAAATGATTCTAATCTCATAATTCTAATCCATGAACCAAACAGACTCTAAGAAGACGTTTAGTTGGAAGATTCAAACTATGTGATTCGAATCATTTTCGATTTACGTGAATTTTTTGTGAGAAAAAATACTGTAACAAACTACAAATCATGATTCAAATCAGGAAACGAATTCCTCTACCAAACATCCTCTAAGATGGTACTTTTATGATGTCCACGTGTTCAATGTGATTGGGGGAAATGTTCCCCATAAAAATGCCGCTGGTTTACAGAAAAAGGCTTCATTATTTTTTAATGGTTAAAGTTAAATTTTCTTAGAATTGAACTTTAACCATTAACAAATAATTAAAAAAAAATTACAGATTTTTCCCAAGTTGAAAAACCTATAAACACCAGCACAACATACACCCAAGAAACCCACCGCTCCGGCCTTCCCCATAGCAGCCCCCGTCCCGCCGGAGACGACGACCCAGAAGTTACGAGGCGTCGGTGGCCATGATTGGAAGCTTCAAAGCAACAATTGCAGAGCCCTTCGCGGCTTCACCAAGTCTGTCTTCTCAGAAACCCGACGCCAGCAACCACCGCCATATATGCAGCTTTTCAAAGCTATCCCTCCATAAAAATGGAGGTGTTGTTGCTCAGATTTCCAAGAACTCTGCTGGTCTTACGTATAAGGACGCCGGTGTTGACATAGACGCCGGCTCCGAGCTCGTCCGCAGAATCGCCAAGATGGCTCCTAGTATTGGCGGCTTCGGCGGCCTCTTTCCTCTCGGTATAAGATTGCTTACATTACTTTTTTTCTTAAAAAACAACAAAGCTTTCTTTGAATTCTGTTGAATGATTTCGTGAATTGATTAGATGAATATTGTTTTTATATGTGAATTTATTTATTCTTTTAGGCGATTCGTTCCTAGTAGCGGGTACGGATGGTGTGGGAACCAAACTTAAGCTTGCGTTCGAAACTGGAATCCATGATACCATTGGGATTGATCTGGTAAAATTTTTAAACTTATGAATGCTGCTGAACTACTATGTATCTTAGTTCAATATGGCCCCGGAACTTTGTAAATAGTTAATTTCATCCCCTGAATGGAATGATAACACAAAATGATACTAATGAATGATGACATGACACTAATTGTAATTTCATAAATGCCTTCTAAATAGTTTCAAGTTACATAGTTTAGGGGTTGTCTTGAACAATTTTATGTAGTCCGGGGCTGAAATGAATCATTTTAAAACTTCAGACATGTTGAACTAGGGTACATAGTTTAGAGGGATTTGTGAGGATTAAGTGAATCACGATTGCTAGTTTTGCGTTTGGTTGCTAATTGGGTTACATTCATTTCCAGGTTGCGATGAGTGTTAATGATATTGTTACTTCTGGTGCGAAGCCGTTGTTTTTTCTTGATTACTTCGCTACAAGTCGACTTGATGTTGATCTTGCTGAGAAGGTAGAACAGAACTCAAATTATATTCATATTCATATTGCTTTGTTTAGTCACATTGATCATGAATACAACTAATGTGTTTTTATGTTGGTTTTTGCCATTTATTTATTAGGTTATAAAAGGCATTGTTGATGGTTGCCAACAATCAGATTGTGCTCTTTTAGGTGGAGAGGTATTTTTTATTTTTTTTTTTTAAGATATTCGATTATCAATTGAATGCTTTTTCTAGGACATGATGTTTGTGATTCGGGTTTTCTTTTTAATTTTTTTAAGGATATAAATTTTTTATTGCTTCTATTGTTATTGAATACTAAGCTAATACTGAGATGGTTTGGCGTTGGTTTATAGCTTATAGTTTGATTTATAGCTTGTCTTCTTCTTTGTATTAAACAATCTAACTAAGGATTCGTGTACTGCTGAAAGCTAAATTGCCAGTTTCTGCTTTACCGCATGTGTACTGCTTTTTTCTATTGTTATTATTATTATGTTAGCGCGTGGTGTATTCTGTTTTGTGTTCTTGTCTAAATTTTTGTTATTTGTTTTTTAAACGTTTGTAGAGCACAAGACTTCTATGGTCCTGTAGTTTTTCTTTAAGGGCCCAGAGAATCTTGGCGCCAAATAAACTTATCTATTGTTTTTTATTTGTCCATCATTTAAATAATCAACCAAACTTTTTGTTATTACGATTTGTTAGCATAAAAATGAGTAAGTGGTACATGTATATGTTTTCTTATCAGAAAGAAAATATAAGTTGTAGAGAATTTCAATCTCTTAGGTTTGTCTCAGTGAATTTCGTGTGTATTTTAGACTGCAGAGATGCCGGATTTCTATGCAGAAGGTGAGTATGATCTCAGCGGTTTTGCGGTTGGCATTGTAAAGAAGGATTCAGTTATAGATGGGAAAAATGTTGTGGCTGGAGACGTTCTCATTGGATTGCCGTCTAGTGGAGTCCATTCCAACGGTTTCTCCCTTGTAAGAAGGTTGGTAAAGTTAATATACTTACAGATGGTATTATCATCTATCTTGAAGAATGTCTTTTGTTGTCTGATTCTTTAGCCCTGTTTATGTAAGAAAATTTCTTCATGTATATGTTTCATAGGGTTCTGGCTCATAGTGGACTCTCGTTGAAGGACCGAGTTCCTGGTGAAGCAGTTACATTAGGTGAAGCTCTAATGGCACCAACTGTAATATATGTCAAGCAGGTTAAGATAAATTCCTCCACAATGTCATGCAATTTATTCTTATGAAGATGCGTTCTCAAATTCTTTCCATACGTTTGCTAAAATCTGTGTTGTTCTACTTAAAAATAGGTACTCGATTTGATTAGCAAAGGAGGCGTAAAGGGGATTGCCCATATCACCGGGGGCGGCTTTACTGACAACATCCCTCGAGTCTTTCCTGAAGGCCTTGGAGCTGCCATCTACAAGGATTCCTGGGATGTTCCAGCTGTTTTTAAATGGATCCAAGAGGTAGACGGATGGTGTCATTTGGCACCCTTTTTGGCGTTTGAGATTGTTGTAATAAATCATAAGTAATTGTGCGTCTGTATTCTTTTCCAGATTCTTTAGCTTGTTCTCGTTGTCCATATGTTTTCAATTATCTATAATTTTCATATAATAGGCCGGAAGAGTAGAAGATGCTGAGATGAGACGAACTTTCAACATGGGAATTGGGATGGTTTTGGTTGTGAGTGCTGAGACATCCCACAAAATACTTGAGGATGCGAACAGAGCGTACAAGGCATACCGCATAGGTGAAGTAGTTAGCGGTGAAGGCGTCAGTTATTGTTAACTTGTAAAGATGAATGAGGGATAACAGCAATTTTCAGGTCGACCATTTTCTTCTAATTCTTACGAAGAAATTTTGACAACTTTCAATATGTTCGAATTTGTGCTTCAAATTGTGCTCAAAGGCTCCGACTTTGTCCTGCTTGCAGATGGGTTTGCCTGGCTGTCCCAGGAGATTCTTTTGGGCTCTTAATAGTCTTTTTCTTTGTGTTGAGTTGTTGTTATACCGGTTTTAGATGTTCTCTTCTAAAAAATATTTTTAATTTGATAACATTATGTTTATCAACATAATCGCTCCGTGACCCTTGGGGATCATTTTTTGTCATTGCTTTCTTTGCAATCACTTTTTTTCATTAAATTGCATTGCCTATTTGTCAACTTTATTTTAGTTGAGAATAAAAAAAGGTTACAACTCTATTTTAGTTGTACAATTTTACTTCATTCATGCTCCCCGCTCGAATTTTCTTTTTCTAGCTCTGCCACTACCTATTTGTCAACTTAATTGAGATGTGGGTGGTATTTTGATGCTAGTTGTTCTTTCTATTAGTTAAAAAGGAAAAAAGAAATTAAAAAAAAATACAGGTTAGGATTGCAATGACAAGTTTGTTTCAAGCTTAAAATTGGACTTTGATTTATGGAAGGATTATTATAGAAGTGTTAGTTAGTTCAAGAATTAGAAAACGATTGCTCGTATGATAAGGATCATCATAGAAGAGTGAGTTCACATAATTGACATGATAGATCATTAATTACTAGACCATAAATATTTTGGTGCCATGGTTTCTGGCGTCTTTTTAGGAGTTAAAAATTGTGCAAATAAGAGTGTTATCTGATCTCTCGACAAGACCTATCCTTTTTAAATTCTTTCTTTTTTAATCATTCTAAAAAATGGATAAAAATCAATGCACTTTGATTTAACAGCAAATTAAAGAATAGAAAAAAGATGAAGTTAATTTGGACTCGGAATTAGCACAAATAGCGGTGAAGCTGCGATTTCACTATAATCGGATATCTTAGTGAGCCTTATTTTGTTTAGTTGTGATTTTTGGAGGCTAATTATTGTTCTAACGAATATTATTTTGCTCAGAGAAATCAAAATTTTATTATTCAAGGAATCTTTATTTTAGGGATTTTACGCGTGCAATTTTAGTTGACTTTAGTGTCTATTATATAAAGGGGATATTGATTTTAGGACTAGTGAGAGAGGTTGGAAAAAATAGAGAGTTAAAGAGTATGTGATTTTCTCGTGTGAACTTTTTTATCACGTAGACATGACTCGTATATTAAAACTGAATCACTATATATTTTGCGTATTCTTTTTTTTTTTCCTATGATTTTATGTCTCTCACTTATAAGTAGTATATAATTAGAACTTAGAAATCTTAAGAGAATTTTCAGTTTTTGTACTTGATGCTAGTTGCTCTTTCTATTTGTTAAAAAGGAAAAAAGAAATTAAAAAAAAATACAAATTACTATTACAAATGACAAGGAAGTTTCAAGTTTAAAACAGACTTTGATTAATTGTCTCTTGAAGTAAGAAACACGGTAGAATTGATTGCTTTCTAGTCTCTGCCGTGTTGTTTAGTTCAAGAATTGAATAATGCTTGCTCATATGATAACTACACTGTGTATCATCATAGAAGAGTGATATCACATGCTTGACATGATAGATCAACTAAACCGATAAATATCTGTCGGTGCCATAGTTGCTCGCTTCTTTTTTGGAGTTAAGAATTGTTCAAATAAGAATGTTAATGTCTGGTCCCCAAAAACGTTAAATGTTTAGTCTCTAAAAACGGTTAAATGTCTGGTCTTCAAAACCGTTAAATATCTGGTCCCCAAAAACATCAAAAAAAGACCACTGAACTTTCTTTTTTTAGTAGTTAATTTGAAAAATGCAAAAAAAAAAAAAAAAAAATCAAGGCACTCTGATTTAACAGCAAATTAAAAGTATAGAAAAAAGATAAACTTATTAAGTCGGAGATTTCAAACAATTAAGATGTTTAATTTATAATAATGCATCTATTTAATTTCAGGGAAAACATCCGAATGGTGCTGCTGATTGAGCCAGATAAAATAAATTAATCATATTTCTCATCAAACTAATGTTGTTGACACACTGCTCGGGATTATCACAAATGATGGTGAAGCTACGATTTTATGACCATCAGATATCTTGGTGAGCCTCATTTGTTAAGATGAATTTGTTTAGTCGTGGTTTTTGGAGGCTAATTGTTGTCTTGACGATTAATATTATCTTGCACAGAGATTGTTTTAAGGATTACACACTTGTAATTCGCTATTTTAAGGTTTTCATACTAGTAAATTTAGTTGTCCTAATTTATATTATATTATATAAAAGGGTATCGATTTTAGCTGACAACCAACTAAATATAAATATGGGCGGCAAATGTAATAGCTCAGCTACGAAAACTCCAGCATTTGCCACTTGTTTTCTAGGCCCATGTGGCAGCTAATTAATGTTCATAGGCTTACTTAACAAGCTTTACTACGTGCCACTTTCTTACCTAAGAAAACTCTTAAACTTATATAATACCACATCATCCTTCCAAATGAGAACATTGTCTCCCTAATGCCGCCTCCAGGTTGCTAATAATACTTTTATCTCGTTTCTTCTCAACCTTTCTCATGAAATTATCGTAATCTCTAATGAAATCTACAACTACTAAATAACAACATTGAAAAGTTAAAATAATTACTCAGTAGTATACTAGAACGACTAATTTTAAGGGAATTTTCAGTTTTTGTAATTATATAGAATGTCTGAAATGCGACGTTCTAATCTATTAATGGTAACGAGTGTAACGATGAGATTACACGAGTTTTTTTGTCTTTTTTTTTTGGGCTCTGATGAGATTACATGAGTTTGTTACTTCCATTTCATTTTTCTTGACATGAGTTTGTTAAAGTCGGTCAAAACGTTGCCAAAGTATAGTTAACGTAATTAGCAAGGTATGTGGGTTTGACTGATGAGGCCCATTTCTTTGAACAACAATTTCCCAAAACATAAGATGAATTTTTATTCAATTTATTAATAAATCAGTCCCAGTGTGTGTGTATAAATATGGACATTTCAACAGCATTGATATTCACTTGCGATTGTAAAATGATTAAAATGATGAGTATGATAGCAGTAATTTCAGGGCTGGTGTTGTTGCTAGCCACCACCCAAATTCATACACTGAGTGATGATGATTGTAATGACTGAGAAAATTTCAGACCTTAAATAATACAATTCATGTATTTTTAAGCCAAGGATTTTCTTAGAAAATATTATGTTATATTGTGAATGGAGAATTTATGGAATTAATATATGTATTCCTAAATTCTATAGCAAATTTCATGTTAAGTTCATGTTTCGATCAAGTAAATTTGATCGATAAATTCTCGCAGTATTTTAAGGCGGAATAATTTTCAGTACAAGTATAGTTTGAGAATCTTAATTTCAAGAATCTCTAAGCACAGCACGATGTTAGCGGTGTATAAAAAAAACAACGCACTGGCATTTTAAAAGAAGAAAAAAAATCCTTAATTGCTAGACAGTTAGGTTAAAGTCGTAAGATAAATACCTATAGTAGATGGGTACAATATGAGCTCGGGAGTTGACACTGTCAGAAACGTCATTCTCGGGATAGAATACAGAAAATTAAAATTTAGAATTTGTTCAGTCTAAAATTAATTTCAAGACTTGAAACAGTTTGAAATATTACGCGAGTAAGAATATAAAACATTATTGAATTATTCAGAAATTGATATTGGACTGTAAGTAGTAGATTAACTTACGTGAGCTAAACTAATTACCTCTAATCAGTATAAATTTAATCTGTTTAGAGAAAATAATTGAGGATAAGATCAGACACGTAATCTTGCCTTAATCAGATACTTTATATAGTGAAATTTTATGGTTCTTGCACTTTCTTTCTCTTATTCCCGCTCATTCTCTCTCTCCTCTCACGTTCTCTCTCACACAAACCATCAATGGCCAAATACTCAAGTTAAGATCCCGCCCTCCATTTTGGACACCGCCGGTGTCAATAGAAAGATCTCGACGAGCTGAGTTCAACGACATGCGGCACGACCTCCAAC